CCCAATTTCCCAGCACTGTTCCCTTCCCCCCAATACTCCAATAAAAATCTTAAAAAAAAAAAAGCGAGTTCCTGGTTCCCATACAGACACATTCTCTAAGCAGAGGGTAGCATGTTGCTTGAGGTCCAGTCCAAAATTTTTTTCAAAAACTAAAAGGTGATCTAACAAAACAACAAACGACAGCAGCAAACAACTGAAAACCCTGACGAGGGTTCCCCTGCCCTCCCCACTCCGCCGTCTTTGTTCTTAAAACACTTCAGTGAGTACTTAGCTGAGATGCCAGAGTTCTGCTTCATGGAGTAAGAGAGAAATAACTTTGCCAGAAAATTATTTCCAAGTCATAACTTGATCATAACAGAAAACAGAAAACACTTCCCAGAAAAGTGCAATTTAACAAGCAGTTCCCTCGAGGATAAGCGATGGCAAAATGACCCTCCAGACAGCTACCAGAGGCTATCTGTTGGATGGAGTGGCTTGGTATTCCCTGTCTAAGCATCCCAGATCATCTATCTATCACATGTAAAAATTTTATTTTTACCAGAGATGACACTACGATGTCCTGTCTGAAAATAAGTAGCTGATATGCTTGGCTGCCTCTAACGTCAAGAGGACAATGCCAAAAATTTGCTACTGCTGGTGCAGGTAGGACTGGTCGCAATTCACCTACTATACAGATCAAGTTATATGGAGGCTAAAAAGAAGGACGGGAAAAAGATTTTTTTTTTAACTGAATTGACTATCTATGTGACCGAAACATCTGGGCAGAATAACCATTGAAGCTGGACCAGGTGTTTAGGTGACTGAGAGCATGTATCTACCGGTAATACATTTAGCGAGTGCCTCGTGGCAGATGGGTCTCCTCAAAACAAATTCTCTTGTTTTGAAGCTATTTACTTGCTCATCAATAGCAAGCTGGTGAAAGACCAAACTGCAGAGAGAAGCAAAATTTCGGATTTTTCTAATGATGGGACAATAAAAGTAAATGTGACTCCTAAGTTACCAAATGAAGGCTCTAAATGATAATGGCCTCCTAAGATGACAGGTTTGGTGTAAACTAGGGGACAGCAAAGACAAATTGCCCATTTCCAGTTGCTATGTTTATTTAACTTTAGCCTATTTGGACCCAAACCTGGGAACAACAGATACACAGAGAGTTAAAAAGAGCTCCCACTGCACTCACCAGGAGAGAGGGTCACGTCCAAGCGAACACTCTTCCACTGTAATAAACTGGAGCCATTGTAGTGCACGGCACGGCCATTGCTATGGGAAAGACAGGGTCGGTCAAAGACAAGGATAACTGTCCGCCATGGAGGCTGCTAAGCAGGGAGCAGGCGGAGGGGTTTCAGTGGCCCAAGAGTAATGAGAAGAGAAATCCTGAGAGCTATTCTCTTTTCCTACACATGAATACATTTCCAACTAGTATTTTATACGTTTTGGGGGGTAGGGATTATAATTCTATCACTTTAATATTAAAACATCCACATCTATTACTTTTCCTTTTTTTTTTTAATAACAGCAATAATATCCACTTACTTATGGAAAAGACAAGTGCCCACTGGGTTAGTCCAAGCCCCATCTCGCTTCTCTGCTTCTGTAGCAAAGCCAAAGGAAACGATTGGTCCAGTGTCGTCATCAGTGTCTCCATAGGAAACAATCTCAATTTCCCAGTAAAAAGATGGGGCCTGAAGAAACACCAGAAGTGGGCAGACAATCAGAGGGCTCAGCCTGGGTCCTTGAACTTGTTTTTTCCTTCAAATATGAAGGACAGAGGCAAAAGCCTGCAGCGTGTCATGTGATTTCTCACCTGAACTGGCAGTGGGGAGGTGGCATAGATAAATGTGCCCCGGGGCAGACCGCCCCCAGCGCTGGGGTCAGCCAGGAAGGTGACGGAAGTCAGGTGTGACGAGAACATGCAGGCTCGGACAGGTGGGAACACTCTCGAGGGGCTCCAAGTTATCTCCTTGGGCTACAATGGGGGAAAAACCCTCATTCAATAGAATTGCAAACACAAATCCTTTCATTCTCTCAGAGAAGAAAAATAAATTTCATTTAATGGTCTTATAACATAGGTATATCTTCTAAAAAAGAAAGCCTATCTTTTATTCCAAAGGAAACTTTATTTAAAAAAGGCACTCTCTGGAGCCCGCCAAGTGGCGCGTTGGTTAAGAGCTGGCTTGGGACGCCAGAGGGCCCCGATTAGGATCCCACATATGAGGGCCAGTGACACTGCCCTCTACTCCCCTTCCCCCAATTCCCCAGCACTGTTCCCATCCCCCCAATTCCCCAATAAAATCTTAAAAAAAAAAAAAAAGAAGGGGCACTCTCCTTCCCTATGGCCAGTGCTGCTCTCTAGAAACAATCACTCTCTTAGCTCTTTTAACGGCTAACCCTATACTTACCTCTATATTTCTTCTTCTACGCTTATAATGCGACACTACCTTTACTATCCTGCGAAGGCATCATTTATCTCTATTATGACAAATGAGGCTTCATTCGCACATACCTGCTCCTCCTTACATACTTGTACATATACACAGGCCCTCCTTATCCTTCCAGTGAAATTACAGGACAAAAGGACAATTTCCGTTCAATCAGTCATCAGAATCTATATTACTATGAGTTAACACTCAGCTCAAAGCTTAAAAGGAGTAATATGGTTACTACACTCCCTCTTATCTTTTCAGCTTAACTGCCTTATTTTTTCACTTTCATAGTTTTTAGTAAATCTAATCATGAAATTTCAAGCTTCTCTATCAGATAAAAGCATATATATTTTTAAACCCATCAATTTCACTTTTATCCTCAGAAAGAACTGAAAGATGCATGCAAAGATTAGCCCTAAAGACGTTCAGGTCACTGTTAGGGAGAAAGCTGCAGACAATGTGGATTTGCAACAATAAAAGCCTGAGTGAGTAAACTAAGGCACAAGCAGATGCTGGGGTATTAAGTTTCTATTGGTTGGCGTGGAAAGGTTCTCACCACGTACAAGGGGAAAAAGCTAAATGCAAAACAGTATGGATAGAAGACATCCATTTTTGTTTTAAAAAATGATAGGTTATACATCACATTAATATGTCGNGGGTGGGAGTCTGGGCCCGACGTGATGAAATTCTCATAGCTGAGCTCTACTTTGTAATGACAGGAGGTGTCACTGTCATATTCTGTAACAAAGCACAATGACAGTGAATTCTAGGCAAGAGCAGGCCAGAAAAATCACAAACGTCTCACCCTTGGACCAACCAGATTCTCTTAATTTGCATGACAGAAGACTCCTAGTACTTGTAGGGGTTTTCAATGCAGGGTCAAGGAATAACTAACTAATCACTATAGGTAGCCTGAGTCTTGCAACAGATTTTATGGGTATAACTCCTTCAACTCAGAGAAGCATTTGGAAAGTTCTCCATCATAAGCATTAAACAGACACTGAAGACAGTTTGCAAACCAGTATCCCAAGGGCCCCATAGGGCCTGCAGACATCTTTAGTTCGGGAAGGTCAGTTTTCTTCAATTTGATTATGAAATTTTTCAAATAACCAGGAAAGCATTTGAGTGCACACCTATATACCAACCACCTAGTTCCACAATCAGCATATTTTATTATTCCTTGGTGAACTTAGTTTTAAAACAATTTAAGAAATGATTAATACTTTAAAATCAGGGTTCGTATACAATTCTGGGGTTTTAGCTGTCATATAAAAAGTGGACACTCTCAGGCCTGCATCTGCACGCGGCCACATCCCACCGGCAGGCTTCCTGCTCGTGGGGAAGGCACCTTCCAGTCCGCTGGGTTCCTCCCACTCCCCACTTCCTCTCACTGGGCCTGCTACCTGGTTCCCAGTGTCCCAGTGGGCCCTGGAGTGAGCCCCAGTTAAATGGATTTCTAGAACTAACAGCATTCACATTCCCAGGAAGCCGGGGGGCCGTGGGAGGCAGCAGCTTACGTTGCTGAGCAGTGGCCACAGCTGCAATCCGGCACGGTGGCCCATGAGTGCCGGGGTCTGAGGCAATACTGGTGCCAGCATCGTTGTCGCTGTCAGATGCCATGGCGAAGGGCAGGGCCTCGAAGTTAGCGCTGATCTCCTCTGCCAGGTCAGTGCACAGGTCGGCGGCGTTGCGGTGGGCCTGCCCTTCGGCATAGGCGAACGGGCGGGAGCCAAAGTTTGCTCGAGTCTTGGTGTTCTGGACAGGAGACCAGATGAAGGGTTTGAAAGGACTCAGGCCTGCCTGCTCATTTACTTATTTAACACGCTGAGGTAACCTCACTAACCGTCCAACCAGAAACTGAGCCCAGCTGTGGGACAGTGTGTGAAGCCAGGCAGAGGAGCTGGTGGCCCCGTGCACAGCGGTGTTCGGAGGTCGGCACAGCCAGCCCGTCTTCCCTCATCTCACACTCTGCTCCAACAGTGGCCTCTCCTGTTTCCAACACTGTTCCTTCTACCTGACACCACTGCAATGCTGTGCCCTTCCCCTGGGGCACCCCTTCCTCCAGTTTTTCCTAAAGACCAGCAAATATTCCAGACCTGGCTCAAACATCACCTCTGCAGGGTCGTGAGGACATGACCAGATGTGCCTGGCGCCTGCTTTCATAAAGTCTACGCTTTTCAGTCATCCTGGGATGGTTTGTTTCATGCGTCAGCTTGACTGGCCATTGGGTGCCAGGTCCAACATTATTTCTGTGTGTGTCTGTGAGGTGTTTCCGGATGAGATTAGCACTTGAGTCGGTGGACTCAGGAGA